TCACGGGCAGATCGTACTGCAACGTGACGGTGATCATGTCCTATAACTAGACGGTTCATACGCTGAAGCGACGGTGATGTTCGCCTCGACACAGGCGGGTCGTGCTTGAATACGATGGAATAAGGATATGATCACGGACAGATCATAAGCCATGTGTTGACATTTCTTAGCGTTGCTACTAAGAACAAAGTTTAAATCCTAAACCCTAGAAACAGCCTAGAAATACTTATTGGTATTTATTAACGTGTCACTTGGTTGAAGTACTTAGCCTTCTATTATAAACCTATATCTCCTAACTTTACTAGGTTGTCATCCCTAGTGATGGTGCCATAGATATGTGTTGGTACTACATAGTATTACTACTAGAATAACACCGAGCAGATCTTTATTAAAGTATGTGACTATATAAATCTATGAATAAAGAGTATCCGCAAGCGCACAGATAATATACCCTTATAGCATTTTACCTGAGAGTATTCCAGGTATCGTTATTTATATTTTTATCACTGGGAAGGTCTAGCATGGACATGTATTGATTAGTGCAACTACACCTACTAATCATGGCTAAGATCATCATCATATCTACACAGAAGGGATATTACTAAGGAAGATTGAGGGCAGAGCTCGTTCTACCTTCGTAATCGGACCCTACATGTGCCTATATTCGGGGAGTGGACTACAAATGACTCAACAGGAGTGTCATATCCGCGATCTATCACATGACCCAGAATATAGAGTGTATCCATAGGTAAACAACGTATAAGCACCACGCTTACACAATGTCGACCACCCACCCATGGTACCTTAGAGTGAGAGCTATACGAACTTATGCATAAACATAATAATAAACTAGCTATACTAAGCATATAATCAAAGTAGACGATGAACATCATAATGAAGAACATGAATAAGATGAATATTGAGATTGTCATAACAATTGTAACTAGCATATAAAAATAATGGAGAAACAAAAGAGAGAGGGATACAAAGTTTATACCGAACCACACTCTTGACAAGATCGGGAATCCAAGCGAAGTCCTGCTTGCCTCCCTCTAGATCTATCCTAACTAGCTATGCTATGGAGGAGGAGGAGCTCTGAGGAGATTAGGGTTTCTGTCTTCAAATGACTTGATGACTTATGATTCTTGGGGAAGGCAGGGGCTGGATTATATAGCCCTGAGGGTCCAACGTGAGCCCTTGGATCAAACCGACTTAAGCAACAGCCTAGATGCATCCTCAAAGGCGGTGGAAGACCACCATACGAAGCTGGCTGACAGGTGTTACCAGGGGGGCCAAGCGGCCCCACCTATCAGGGGGTGGCCCTCCGCTTCGATGACATGGCTTCTGGACCCTTTTAGAGTCTTCCCACGTAGGTACCACGGCGGAAGTCCGTATTTTCCTTTGACGATTAGGTCCTCCTTTGCGGTTTTCTGATTAAACCCTGCTGGAAACACAGATTCACCAAAACTTGTGGAATTTATTAGTTTAAACCCCTAAACCTTCATTGGTGATTATATTTATGCCCTTATGCATGTTTAATTGACGGTTTAAGTTGGTTGTTAACTACCGTTAACACCATGCGGCGTTGTTAGTGTATACCCACACAGGCGGGTTGTGCTCCAATGCGACATAAGTAAGGACCTTATCACAGATGGATGATAAGCCAATACGACAGTGTAGTGTGCATCCTAATTAGTCTCAGATATCGACGGTGATGGCTATGACTATCACTGCCGACAGCTTACTGCCGAGGCAGAAATTGGACTGCAATGAGGGTTACAACATGGCTATGAAAGATCCGAGTGTAGTAGTGATAGACGGTGCTCCTGGGAGCCAACACCGCCTCAACCCCACCCAAGTCAGATGCTCGAACTCATCCTCCACAACAGGCGTCCTCTAGTGGTGGGGGTGGCAGTGGTAACCATCGCAAGAAACGCAAGGCATCAGATGCCCGCGGATGCCTGCCCGTGCCAGGCGGCAACGCAGCCCCGCCTCCTATTGCACCATAGTGGGTGTCGTTGTACAATGGAAAGGCGTGGAACCCTAAACACGTGGCGCCTAGGCGTCCACTTGCCTCAGGCCATGGCTGCTCTGACCACGCCACCTCCTTAGCACGATGCGACCCTCTACTCTCGATCTGCACGGACTATTCTGCCGACACTCTACTCCGCCCTCAACAACTTGTCCCTCAACCTGAATAGTGGTAGAGTGGCAACTGGTTCTTGGACACTGGAGCCACATCCCACATGGCCTCCCATCCTGGTATTCTTGTCACACATTCTTCTTCTACTGTTCCTCATTAGAATGTTGTCGGCAATGGGCACACCTTGTCTGCGCAGTGCACTGACAGCGCTGCTGTCCCTAGCAATTCTTCTCCTTTGCAACTGCATAATGTCTTGATTGCTCCTCAATTAGTGAAGATTTTGATATTTGTTCGAGCTATAACTCGTGACAATGGTGTCTCTATTAAATTTGATCCCTGGGGCTTTTTCTGTTAAGGATCTTCACACCAGGATGGTACTCCTCTGCTGCGATTCTTCTGGCTACCTGTACCCCATGCATGCTCTGCAAGGCATCCAATAGTCCTCGTAGGACTTCCTCGCTTCAGCAGACACGCTGCTCTGGCACGCCTGGCTTGGTCACCCTGGCCAGGCCACGCTCAAGCGCCTCTCTTTTGCCACATTGGCTTCTCCTGTTCCATGTCCGGCGCCTATACATGCCATGCCTGTCGCCTTGGCAAACATGTAAGGCTGCCATTTAGTAATTCCAACAATGTATCTTCTATTCCCTTTCAGCTTACATTGTGATGTTTGGACCTCACCGGTTGTGAGCAATTCTAGTTTCAAATACTATCTTGTTCTTCTCGATCATTATTCCCACTTTGTATGGACTTTCCCTTTGAGACACAAATCAGATGTTCTGCCAACTCTGATCTCATTCCGTGCTTTTGTTCGTACTCAATTTCAGCTTCCGGTCATGTGTCTCCAAATTGACAATGGCAAAGACTTCGATAACTCAGCCAATTGTGCGGTTCTTTGCAGCCCACGGCATTGCCCTCCGATTGACACATGCCCATACACATCGCAGCAGAATGGGCACGTCTAGTTTGACGACCAGTGCTTTCCCTTTGCACAGGTGGTGCAGTCCTCTTCAATAGACCAACACCCATGCGCGCCGTGTCTCGGTGGTGTGCTACCGGTGCCTTCAGCTCGTCAGCAGCTCACTCGCGTGCTCCACGACGCGTTGCTGTTCAGGAATTGGCGCCTCCTACGGCACCAACACCAGGTACACCTCCATCTCCTCCGACCCATGACTCCACTCTGCTGTCATCTACGCCAGCGCTAACATCAGCCTCACCGACTGTTGCCACGACATCGCACGCAATTCCTGCGGATGCGGACACGACGTTGTGCGTGCCACCTACGGACGTGGACAAAATGTCACATGCGGCTCCTATGGCCGCCCCGGATGTGCCACGGCACCCGATGGCCACACGGGCACGCGTGGGCATTCACCTGCCGAACCCGAAGTATGCACACGTCACAGTAACGACGACACCGACATCCCCACCAACCATAGTTCGTGCTACGCTCCGCGATCCCTGGCGTGCCGCGATGCAGGAGGAGTTCAATGCGATGCTGTCCAATGGCACGTGGATGCTTGTGTCTCGGCCACCCCATGCAAATGTCATCACTGGCAAGTGTTTTTTCAAGAACAAGCTCCACCCGGATGGTTCACTGGAACGCTGCAAAGCAAGGTGGGTTGTCAGTGGATTTTCCCTGTGCGCCTGCATCGACTTCAACTAGACCTTCTCCCCGGTGGTCAAACCGGGCACCATCCTCACGGTCCTGCACCTTGCTACGACACACCGGTGGCCTGTGCACCAGCTTGACGTCAAAAACACATTCCTCCACGACAATCTGGAGGAACGGGTTTACTGTCATCAGCCAGTGGGGTTCGTCGACGTGACACATGCCACATGCATGGTTCCAGCACCTCGGTGCACATCTCCACTCTATCGACTTCGTCACTACAGGCTCCGATTCCTCTCTCTTCGTTTCCAGAGGGGATCGGATATTGCCTACATCTTGGTCTACCTCGATGACATCATCCTTACCACGTCCTTATTAGCACTGCTACAGCACATCATCGAGCAACTGCACCACGCCTTCGCAATCAAGGACCTCGGTGCCCTAAGAATGAAATTTGCGTGAAGGTAGGAAGCTGCTATCCATGCATATTTATTGAAGAGGGGCAATAAGTCATAAGACAAAAGTCAGGTTGTGTAGATGCCCCTGGTTCACAAGTCACAACTGACAAGGTCACATTCTGAAGAGTGAAGATGGTGAAATCCAGCCTTGCGTCTTTCTGTAGCTCTCCCAGCAACAGACCTGGCCAATATTGCAAGAAAACAATCACGGTAAATATATTCAAGTAGTGCGTGCGTGTTTTTGGCCGCACGCATGCCTAGATCCACCGTTCATACACGATCAAAGGGGTCTACAGTGCTCAAGCAGGACACTGCATGGGAGGCATGGTGGGGGTGGCAGGAGCTCACAACAACCGGAATTGAAGAAGGATTAGATTTAAGGGTCGGGGAGTTTTGGGCCAGGTTAGGGTTTATGATTTGGCGTACACCGACTGTAGAGGATTAGCTGGGGCGACAGTCCGATGATGGCAATGAGCAGTGGGCGATGGGTGGCAAGGCAAGGCAGTGGAGCGCTATCGGCTGGTGTGTGTGTGTGTGTGTGTGATTGTGGTGGGGGGGGTGAGGGTGGGTGGTTGCGGCGGAGCAAGAAGCACCCTCGGTTGGTGGGAGGGCTGAGTGTAGGGGTGGCAGCACGGCGGTGAGGTTATGAAAAAAGAAGAAGGATAAATTGCTTGCTAATTATTCGTTTCCTTTTATATCATGCTAGCCAATTATTTGCCAGAGGAAAGCATGGCACATTGAGAGAGGGACAAGGATCACTCACACCGAAACAATGTGGAACGAGCTGCAGTCACAGTGGGCGAACGTAGAAACCAATTGCGTCAAGAAATACTCCTGCGCGACCAAAGAAGCCAACAATTGTGCTATTGCTCTGCTTTGGAACGACGAACGGATCTCCTCCACCTTCTCCAAAAGGTCCATAGGAAGCAGCATTGGTGACAAAGGTAAGCGAGGTTATAAGGTTGTGAAGTCCAGAAAATGAACCAATTGTTCCAGAAACTTTTATGAGATACTCCGAAGGACCAAGTTGAATCTGTAAGAGAAGAAATGTAATATTATTCAACGCATAACCTGGTGTTTGAATATGGGGACCAAGGAGGTAATTACTGGGTAACATAGTAAACGCTTATGCATGCTTGGAAGCATCAATCAAGAGTTAAAAATTAAGTCTGGATTATTACTCACCGTTTTATAAGCAGTCCCGTAACGGCCACCCCACGGGCCTGCACTGCGCTGCTGTGCCCATTATGATAAGTGTACGAAAATGCAAGTGAATCTACGATGTCGCCGCTGCAAATTGTCACGCTTTCCAGACGGTGTGGTGGCACCCGGATGTCACGAGCCCTCCCTCCGTTCCCACCAAACGGCCCAATCCTGGAAAGTAGAGCCTGAGCGCAGACCAACACCAAGAGATTAGAAAAAGGAGGAGGTGAAATGCATAAACAAACGAACACACATTATTGCAAGAGACCAGTAGTAAATCAGTACGTACATCTTCTTTCTTATTTTCTTGTCGATCCTCAGGGATCTCTTCCTCTTGATCACTTAGCATCTCTTCTTGGAAATGCCACTTCAAATCTAGAGTTGGAGGGTTGGGATTCAGGTTGGTTGCATTACGCAATGCAGCTTCTGCAGCCTCTACCTCCCAGAGCCTGGCACAGCGACAGTCAACTTCCACGTTGACAGTCTTAAGGGAGGTGAGATTCTCCAAGCCCAAATCGAAATCACCATGAATATCTTCTGTCTCTGCAACCTCAAAGCAAAGATATAGCTTCTGAAGCTTCTGCATGGCTCCCGGTCTAAACACCAGCCCCACTGCACGACTTGCAAACTTGAGGTTTCCTAGACACCGGAATGCTGTTCCATGGCCAGTACTGCTCTTGATCTCCAGCCTTGTTCTGGTGGCTTTTACCACTTCCAAATCCACAGAACGAAGTAAGAGAAAATCTGCAAGAATGTCGAGATCTGCCTGCTCTAGTGTCCTCACCATGATGGATAAGTCAGAGAGGGTGGAGAGCGAGGAATTTATCCACCTTGGCAGTGTGGAGAATGGGCTCAACTCTGCCCATACAGACCCTGTCCTGAGTATAGCTTCAGTCCGCACACGGGGAGATGCTGCAAATCTTTGGAGGTATCTAGGGGCCCAATCTGCTCGCAACATGAAGTCCAAGGATAAATCTGGAGCAAAGATACAAAGAGCTTCGAGTTGCTTCACATTGGACAAACACTGGAGCAAACGCTTGTCACATCTCTTGTCCCATTTACGGAGTGAAATCTCTAGCACCCTCAGTTGTCTAAACTGAACCACAGTGGATGGCAGTTCTTTTATTCTGGCCTCCTTTAGGTCTAGTATCTGCAAAAACAGAAGCTTTCCGATCCCTTCCGGAAGCTTAATGCAAACATCATGATAGTAATAATGGGATTCTTGGCTTAGCCTCAGATACCTCAAGTGAACCAAGCTTTCCACACCCCTGATGTTATGTGTGGTGCAATGTTCTAACTCCAAGACACGTAGAGCTGGAAAGATGGAGAGGGAAGGCATTGAATCAATAGCACCCGAGGATACAACGAGTGTCCTCACATGAGGCAACCTGTTGATAACCTTGGGTATGCCGTCCTTTCCCTTGCTATTTCGGAGGGATAGCCGATGTATGCTGTCTGGCTCAGATGGAAAAGATTGCCGGCCATTCAATATCGTGACGAAGCCTTCTTCAGCTGACAAGAAATTAATAAACTCAAGTACCAAATCGTGTACCTTACAAGCATGCGCCCTCCCTAAGGCATCCAGATCGCTTGGTTGGATCATACTCCTATTAATAAGCTCGTTAAAGTACTTGTCTCCTAATTCATACAGGCTGAGGCTGTCACCTTGTCTTCCACGAACTAAATCTTCGGCTATCCATCTCTGTATCAAGTCATCTCTCGCAATTATGTGGTCCTCCGGAAATATGCTTAGGTACAAAAGACAAGCTCTCAGCTGTGAAGGCATATCACGGTAGCTAAGTGATAATATCAACCGCATGTCCTTCACACCACGATTATTTTCAAGTCCAGTACTGATTGAGTTGTATACACTATACCAGTGATCCTTTGTTTGTGTCGGCTTATTTGCAAATAGACTAGCTATGGTAATGATACCTAATGGCCAGCCTTCACACTTCTCTAATATTCTTTTCGATACAACCTTTAGTTCGTTAGGGCATCCATCCTTGCCGAATATTTTGTGATAGAACAATTGCTCAGAGTCACCATAAGAAAGAGGTTGCAGTTCATAAACGATGCCATCAACATCGTTGGAAGAGCAACATGACTTAGCAACATCAATCTTACGAGTTGTCGTGATTACTCTACTGCCAAGTTTGTTTTCAAAGAGAACACAATTGATAAGTTTCCACGGTTGTTCATCCCATATATCATCAATGACAATCAAGTACCTACAGTTTTTGCAAAAGCGTTATAATTAAGTTGGCAAAATTAACTGCTAGCTACAATCAAATCAAGTTGAAATGTGCAATGGAAAACACCCACGATCAAGAAATTAACCATGGCTAGGAACAGTTTACTCCATTTGTTCCAAAATGTAAGATATTTTAGCTTTGTTTATAAGTCAAACTTTCTTTTTAAAGTTTGACCAAGTTTATGTAGTGGAAAAGAAATTATGTTACTCGCAATAGGTTGAATTGCATAGGATACCATTCTTGATATGGATATCTTTGACGACCAGGGGAAGAGAAAGAGGTAGGGGTGCAAATCCAAATGGGGACAAAGATGATGACATGGATATCTTTGACGACCAGGGGGATGCGAGCAGTGGCGGAGCTAGCGCTCAAATCAAGCAGGGGCCAAACGGGCCTCAAGAACGTACTGCTACAAGCAAGCATGGCACCATAGCTAGGAAGCTTGCATGCATCAGATAACAGACAAAACAACTATGCATGCAGCTATGCCAGTAGACAGTGGGGAAATATACATGCACTTGCACATGACAACTATGAAATTTGATGCATGGCAAGGGGCGGCCATGGCCCTCTATGGCCCTAAGGTAGCTCCGCCAGTGGATGCGAGTTTGATCCCGCAAACCTCTAATACAGTAGGGGTGCGCAAACCTCTAATACAGTAGGGGTGGAAGAGAGTCTGGAGAAGATTCAGGAGAGAAAGAGACAGAGGAAGGAGGACATGAAGGATGGAGCGGCAAAGCAACTTTTACTAACGGCATCCTCCGGGGACGAGGAACGCCGAGAACAATGAAACTCCTAGCTTGGAACTGCCGCATGCTGAATTCAGCCCGGACAGTTCGTTCGCTTCTGGAGGTCCAGAGGCGGATAAAACCAGATGTGTGCTTTCTGTCTGAGACACATGTGGACACAATTAAGGCAGAAAGATTGAGAAGGCGAGCAGGCTTTGATCACATACTCATTCATGAGAGTGATGGTCGAAGCAGTGGTTTATTGTTGATGTGGAAAGATGATATTCTGATTCGTGAGCAAGGAATCACGTAGAATTATATCGATGTGGTCATCAATGATGGAATTGGTTGGAGATTCATAGGATTGTATGGGGAACCAGATTGGAGTCAAAAGGGCGTTACATGGGATGCGTTGCATTCCATCAGAGGGGATGGAAGTGTCCCGTGGCTAGTGATGCGAGATTTTAATGAAATTTTATTTAATGCGGAGAAGGAGGGAGGTAGACCAAGACCACACAACGTCAGCTCCAAGCTTTTCATGATGCTTTATCAGATTGTGAGCTCGTTGACATGGGTATATAGGCGATTTATTCACATGGCATAGAAGGAAAATTCGGGAGAGACTTGATAGGGCTGTTGCCAACACCCTTTGGTCGAGTCTTTATCCCCAGGCTGCGCTGATAAATACTGAGATGACACGTTCAGTTCACCGCCCCATTGTGATGGACCTGTCCTATCTCGCTGGTCGCCATGATGGTGGTGGTATTAAGAAGCGGTGAAGCACGATGGCTCCAAGAAGATACTATGGAAGAGATGATTAAAGTAGCCCGGGCGCGTGCTTCAGCTAGAGGTGAAGGACCAACTTTTAGAGAAAAAGTGAGAGATGTTCATGATGATTTGCATAAATGGGACAAGGAAGTATTGAAGCATCCGACAAAGCGTATGTCAGACCTGAAGACGGATTTAGAGAGATTGAGGAGAGGGCCAATGACCGATGCTAATATAGCCTCCTAAAAGGAAATTATGGTTCTGCTAGAGCTAATGCTAGAGCAAGAGGAGATGTACTGGTTTCAGCGAACCAGGGCGAATTGGTTGAAAAACGGTGATAGAAACGCTAGTTTTTTTTCAGAATTATGCCACGAGAAGGAAAAGAAGAACACGATCAAAGGCCTTGTTGATGATAATGGTGTTCTACAGGAGGACGGGGAGGTAATGGGAAATATTATCCAAGGTTATTTTTAGAACCTTTTTTCATCAGAAGTAGGGGATCCAGACCCATCTGTGATAGTGGAGGTTTAGCGCAGAATTACTTCGGAGATGAATGAGGGGCTGTTAGACACTTTCACTCATGACGAAGTTAGAAGAGCTCTCTTCCAAATTGGCGATCTCAAGGCGCCAGGCCCAGATGGGATGCATGTGGTGTTTTGTAAAAGGTTCTGGGAGATTCTAGGTGATGATCTAGTTAGAGAAGTGCTTCAGGCAATTAACACGACAACAATTCCAGAGGGGTGGAATGATACAACAATTGTGTTAATACCCAAGGTAAATGAACCTACTTTGGTGTCTCAATTTTGCCCTATAAGTCTTTGTAACGTGGTCTACAAAATTATTTCAAAAGTGCTAGCTAATCGGCTGAGGACCATTCTCCCTGATATAATAAGTGATCATCAAAGTGCTTTTGTTCCGGGACTAATGATCACTGATAATATTCTCATCGCATGTGAGAGTATCCATGCTATTAAGAAGAAAAAAAGGGAAAAGAGGGCTATGTGCAGTAAAGCTGGTATGCATCAAGCATATGATAGAGTAGAGTGGGGGTTTTTTTTGGAGAAGATAATGCTGAAGCTAGGTTTTGATGCACGCTGGGTAAAGCTGATTATGGAATGCATCACTTCAGTGAGATATAATGTGAGATTTAACTCAAGAGAAACCGAGATTTTCTTGCCTACAAGGGGTCTTCACCAAGGGGACAGCGGGTCCCCTTATTTGTTCTTGATGATAGCTGAAGGACTCTCTTGTTTACTGAAGGGGGGCAGAAAATAGAGGAGAATTGGAAGGCATTCGGGTGTGCAGAGATGCACCAATGGTGTCTCATTTCTTATTCGCTGATGATTCTCTTATATCGATGAAGGTGGATAAAAAGAATGCTGAGAACCTGAAATTGTTATTGGATCGGTACTGTGCAAGTTCCGGTCAGAAAGTAAGTGATGCTAAATCTAGTATTTTTTTCAGTGAAAATACTAATGTGGAGGACAGAGCTGAAGTTTGTGCAGCTCTAAAAATTGTCATAGAATCGTTGAATGATAAGTATTTGGGCTTTCCAGCTATGATCGGTATAGATCACAATGATTGCTTCAGACACTTGATTGATCGAGTAAGAGGGAAAACAAAGGGTTGGAAGGAGAAGCTACTGAGTATGGGTGGGAAGGAGGTTCTTATTAAATCAGTCGCCCAAGCCGTGCCGGTATTCACGATGATGGTATTCAAAATCCCGAAAAACATATGCAAAGGGATCATGATGTCATTTCGCAATTCGGGTGGGGCGACGACAATGATCACAAAAGGATTCATTGGAAGGCTTGGTGGAAGCTTTGTATACCAAAGAAGAGAGGCGGGATGGGATTCAGAGATTTAGAAAGCTTCCCTGTTGCAATTCTTGCTAAACAAGTATGGAGGCTATTGTTGGAACCTGAATCTTTATGTGCGAAGGTCTTGAGAGCAAGGTATTATCTTGATGGAAATCTGCTGGCGGCTGCAAAGCTAAAGAGTGGAAGCTCCTATTCTTGGTAGAGTGTGTTGGCGGGTTTGGAATGTTTCAAAAGGAGTTATATTTGGAGAGTTGGAGATGGATCTCAGATAAAAATCTCGGAAGATAATTGGATTTCATCAAGTCATAGCCTCAAAAATTTTAACACCACGTGGGCATAATTTGGTGTTGAGGGTGGATGAGTTAATTAATCCAGTGACTGGATCATGGGATGAAGATTTGATTAATGAGCTTTTCTGGCCAGGGGATGCTCACTGTATTCTACAGATCCCTCTCACTCATGGCAGGGAAGATCTAGTAGCGTGGCATTACAATCGGAATGGTCTCTTTTCAGTCCGATTTGCTTACCATGGCCAATGGTTACATAAATTTGGTGAGAATAGAGTTAATGAGCAAGCAGATGCAATTGGTGAAGTGGATGTTTGGTCCAAATTGTGGAATTTGAATGTTCCAGCAAAGATAAAAAATTTTGGTTGGCGGGTGTTGCATGGGCTGCTGCCATGTAGGGTCATACTTGCAAACCAGCATATCGAAAATTCAGGGAGCTGCCCAGGTTGCAATGAAGGATGCGAGGACATCAAACACTTGCTGTTTTTACGCAAACGAGCACAGGATATATGGCAGAAGATTGGTGCTTGGCAGGAATTTTAGAAATACATAGCAGTGGATCGATCGGGATCAGTAGTGGTGGCAGAGATAATAATAGATGGAGAACATTGGGGCATTTGAACAACCTAGGATTGGCCGAATTAATCTTAACAGGCAGCTGGTATATATGGTGGGAACGAAGAAAATTCGTTCATGGTGAGGCAATCCAACCATAGATGAGAAGTGCTTTATCTATCGTGACCTTGACAACAAACTATCAACGAGTGATGAAGAAGAATGCCAAATGTGCTGATGGATGGAAGACGCCACCAGAGGGAACTTTGCTTCTAAATATAGATGCCGGCTACAAACCAGAGAGGGGAGATGGAGGCACCGAAGGGATTATCAGAGACTCGGCTAGTATGTTTATAGTTGTATCATATTGTTATCTTGATCATGTTGTGGATGCCCCAACAGTGGAGGTGTACGCTCTAAGAGAACGGCTCCTGTTAGCCCAACATATTGGTTGCCAATGACTGATCATCCAGTCCGATTGTTTGGAGGTGGTGGAGATAATGAATCAATAAAGTAGACTTAGGGGTTTAAACTGACAAATTCCATGAGTTTTGGTAAATCTGTGTTTTCAGTAGGATTTAATCAGAAAACCCCCAAGGAGGACCTAATCGTCAAAGGAAAATACAGAATCCCGCCGTGAAACCTATGTGGGAAGACTCTAGAAGGATCCAGAAGCCACGTCACCAAAGCGAAGCCCGAGTGGCTGACATGTGGGGCCGCCCCGCCCCTGGTGGGCCCACCTGTCAGATAGCTTCCTACGTTGGTTTCCCACCGCCTTTGAGGATGCATCTAGGCCGTTGCTTAAGTCGGTTTGATCCAAGGGCTCACGTTGGTCCCCCAGGGCTATATAATCTAGCCTGTACCCCCCTGAGGCAATGCTCATTTGATCCAGAGAGCTGAGAAGCCAGGAACCCTAATTCATATGCCCACCAGGATCAGAGCTAGCAATCAAGAGAAGATTAGTCCTCGATATGATCTAGTCTTGTTCTAAAGATAGAGAGATAGAGTGTGAGGGAAGAGTTCGGAGGAGTCCCGGTCTGTCAGTGCTCTCTCTACGGCTTGTACCCTGGCGGAATCAAGTTCTTCTTAAGCTTGCTTCTGAGATTTCTCTGGTAATCGACTTCTAATTCAAGTAAGCACCTTGTTCATATTGTTCTTCAGGTTTGCGACTCTCTTTTGAGTATTTTAATTCTTGTAGCTCCTGGTTTAAAGTAGTATTCATAGTGTAAGCGTGGTGCTTAGACTCGGTTACTCGTAGATGTACCCTATTTTTCGGATCGGTGGTAGCTCACGAGGGTGACTTTTATAGCCTCGTTGAATCATCTATGGTCCACCTCCCGTTAATAGGACTAGCAGGACAATATTGCTATAGGAAACATATTTTGTCTGTGTTTTCTCTAGTATTAT